CAAAACATGGTTGTTCAATAATGCATCTGAAATATCCTAAACATACCTGATACAGTTAAAGTACATGCGGTGCTGGCTGAACCATGAATATTGCTAGCGACACATCGATAAGCTCCGACGTCTTCTGCCCTAACGCCAGTTATTTCCATTGAACATGTACCGTCTTCGAACATTTCTATTCTTCTTTTGGAAGTGGCCGCCAGTGGTATTCCATCCTTATACCTACGGAGGAAATGCTACTTAATGAACATTTTAAAACATTTCTGAGGTTGATATTGGCAGCAATACGATCTGGCACACGGAATAACGCACTGGTAATATAACATTGATTTATTGACTCAGAAATGCCATCTTTGAATGTAATGTCGATGTGAGAAAAAATTCAACCACTAAGTGAGGCTGGGAAAACATAGAGGAGCTGATCTTCTGACGCAGGTTTATTGCCAGAATACCGTTTGATTAATAATATCTCTCATCAGAAAATGAAAATGCCATTCTACTGTAGACCTGTGTTGCCACATTTCGCTCTTCTTTGACAAATAACTTTGAAACATTAGTTTTCGCAGATACCGTAGCAAAAAGGATAATAAATTCGCCCTGGCTTAAAGTGTCCTACTTTTGCAAGGATACGGTTGCTTAATCAGTGGGTGTAATGAATTCGCAGTCTTAGGGTCTAGGGCTCGAATTCTATATAGTGCAATTTGCCTTTTATCATTGCAAGGATTTTCATTATGAACAATAATGCATAGGCAGGATGCCGGAACTACACGCTCTAGTGACAACCTGCCTATAAATATTGCCTTCTGTAGACGTATGACAATATCCACTGTCTGGCTCAAAATATATTCATAAAACAAGAATGGTTTCGTACTACCGGTTTTAGGTGGAATTGAAGTATCGATGACTAGTTTCTGTTTGCATTAATAGATGACAGCAAAAGTTACCATCTGATTTCTGGGATGGGAACACCGGACACTTGACAAGTCAGCTTTACGTCAGCGGTTTCATCAACCTTCTGGTCAGAGAGGTACCTGATGAACCGAGGCGCATGTTCTGCTCGTGGATACTTTTCTTTTTCACGTTTAACTAAAAAAATCAAATTAATAACCGAATGGAAGTAATTCCAAACCGTCCTTACTGTCAACCGATAAAAGAGCCGATGTGGAGGCTGAGCCGACTTCGTTTTGCGCCATACACTGATAGCAGCCAACGTCGTTTATGCTGAAATTCAACACCGACAGTCGGCACTTTCCATCAGAGTAAGTTTCGATATGGACGTGGTCATTTTCGTCCAGAGGAATATTGTCCTTGAACCTTAAAAAATGAATGGTATTAATTTTTTGGGAACTACCCTTTACGGTACATAACAGTGATACGATCAAATTAAAATTAGACATACCATTTTATTGTTGCTCGTGGCTTTGCATCTACAAAACATTCAACTGTCATCGTTGATCCTTCCGGAATAATTCGATCGTGAAGAGGAACGTTAAACACGGGTGCGTACTTCGACGTGTCCTGGATTTGTCGTTCCAAAGAGGCTTAAAATATACATACATAAATAATAGCAGAGAACTGCAGAACACGCAATTACGTTTGACGGTGAAATAAGCGTTACTCTCGTCTGTACCGGCAACGTTCTGTGCCTTGCATTCATAATATCCAGCATCATCAGGCTGTGTGTTGATGATAGTTAGACTCCAAGTTTTGCCTCCCAGTTCTTCGATTCGCACTCGGTCAGACGGAACGATTTCAATGCCGTTTTTAAACCTAATAGACACCTCAATATTTGTTATAGAATTTCTTCAAATTCTTACCAAGTCAGTCTTGGAACCGGCGAGCCACGTACTTTCACTTCTACCACCAGGTCTTTGCCCTCGTATACACTAGTGTCTCTCAATGGAATGATGAATTTTGGAGGAGATCGTTCAGATGGCTTCAGCGCTACAAAAACATAATTTAATAAGTTTACGCTTGAAGTTCAAATGTCATATTGTGTGAAAGAAAATCCAATAATATGAAATTGTACTATCGATTGGTGCAAATAAAATCAGGATTAATATTAACATAAATAGAGTTTAAAAATACTATCATTTTCTGAAACAGCTTCAACAGATGCTCTCATAAAACCTTAAAATATTTTGGAAGATAGTGGACGTTTTTCTTTCATGCCCTACCTTCAACTGTAATCTTTCCTTCGCTGGAGGCACTTCCAAAAATGTTCGTTGCCACACATTTGTACATGCCAGTATCCGACAGCTGTGCATTTTTAATGCGTAGACGAAAGAACACTTCGTCTGAAATGCACTCAATTTTTCCCACTATCCGATCAGATGGCAGTATCTCTCTGTTATTGATGAACCTGAAAAT